AGCTGCGTCACAGGGGTTTGGAGAGTCCCGGCTTCCGTACCTGACTCCCCGATGTCCAGTCCCGTCGCTATGGCAGCGGCCCAGGATTTGAGAGCTTCCCGGCTCCCGTAGCTGGCTCCTCTGCTGAGTCAGAGGGGTTTGGAGAGTCCGGGCTTCCGTACCTGGCTCCCCGGCGTCCAGTCTCGTCGCTATGGCAGCGGCACAGGATTTGAGAGCTTCCCGGCTCCCGTAGCTGGCTCCTCAGGGTCCAGGCCTGTCTCTATGGCGGCGTCACAGGGGCCTTTGGTGTCCCAGCTCCTGAAATTGACCCTTCCGTTGCCCAGGCCAGTAGCTATGGCATCGGCACAAGGGTGTCCCCGCTCCGGTTCCTGACTCCTCTGTCTCCCAGGACCGTCACAGGGGCTTGGAGTGTCTGGCTTCCGTACCTGATGCCCCGGCTCCCAGGCCTGTTGCTCTGGCGGCAGCACAGGGGCAGCGTGAGACCCAGCTCCAGTAGCTGACTCTGCCGCCGTCTGGTGTTTCAGCGTCAGTCACAATCTCTGGTCTTTTAATTTCATAAATGCTGGGTAACCGATGGTTTATTGTGCTGTTTCTCCATAGATCTGCCAGGATTTTCACCCATGAGTACAGGAGCTAGTATCCGCTCCATCTTACTCCGTCGCCATCTTCCCAGCATCCTCCGTAAAGTCCTTTTTTAAAATTTATTTTTATTTTTGCTTTTGCTATGAGGGTAATCATATGCTGGCTTTATAAAACTACTTTGGAAGTCTTCCCTCTTATTCAGTATTTTGGAAGAGTTTGAGAAGGATTGGCTTTAATTATTCTTTAAATGTTTGATAGAATTGACCCAGAAAGCCATCTGGTTCTGGTGCTTTCTTTGTGGGGAGTTGTTTATTACTGACTTAATTGCATTACTAGTTATAAATCTGTTCAGATCATCTATTTCCACATAATTTAGTCTTAGTGTAGATTGTGTGTTTCTAGGAATTTATTATTATTTTCCAGATTAACCACTTTGGTGGCATAGAATTGTACACAGTAGTCTTTTATCTTTTTTATTTCTGTGGCACTAGTTTTAATGTGTTCTCTTTCATTTCTGATTTTATTTGTCTTCTCTTTTGTATTCTTAGTCAATTCAAAGATAGTTAATTTTGTTGATCTTTAAAAAATAGCTTTTAATTTAGTTGAGTTTTAAAAATTATTTTTGTAATCTGTGTTTTGATTATTTCTGCTCTAATCTGTATTATTTTTCTTCCTCCTAACTTCAGTCTTGGTTCTTTCTCTAGTTCCTTAAGGTATAAAGTTAAGTTCTTTATTTGGGTTTTTTCTTCCTTTTTTAATATAGGTATTTATTACTATAAACCTCTTTAGTACTCTTCTTGCTGCATTCCATAAATTTTGTTCTGTTTTGGTTTCATTTTTGTTTATCTCAAGGTATGTTCTGATTTCTCTTTTCATTTATTTGACCCATTAGTTGATCAAGAGTGGATTGTCAAGGAACATGTAGAAAGAACACAGGGACAAGGCCAAAGTGGGGTAGGATCGAAGGTGGGAGGTAGGGGTGGCTGTGGTGGGGGGAGTGGGGGGAGAGGAAATGGAGACAACTATACATGAACACAAATAAAAAATTTTAATAGTATTTTAAAAATTTGCACATATTTGTGAATTTTCTAGTTTTCCTTCTATTGGAAGAAAGGTTTTATACTCTGATATTATTGTGTTGCTATATTCTCCTTTCGATTCTCTCAGCATTTGCTTCATGTATTTTGGTGCTCTGATGTTGGCTGCATATATATTTGTAGTTGTCATATCTTCCTGGTGAACTGACCCTTTTGTCATTATATAATGTCCTTCCTTGTCTCCTGTGATATTTTTGACTTAAAGTCTATTTAGTCTGATACCCATGCTCTCTTTTGGTTACCATGTGCATGGATTTTTTTTTCTATTCTTTCATTTTCAGCCTATATGTGGCCTTAAATCTAAAGTGAGTTTCAGCAGCAGAGCGGGGTGGGGCAGGAAAGATCCACCAGACCCACCCTGGTGTGCGACCAAGGCACGCAGGCAGCTATAGGCGGATCCTAGGTGTGGAATGGCGGGCAGACCCACTGAGGGCTGACCATGGTCATACATTCACACGCAGATAAACCGGTGAAGGAACAAGCAGTGAGACAGATGATGCAGGCCCCAGTGGCGAGAAGCGGCAGAGGGGACTGCCATTGTCCCTCTCTGACCACGCCCCCCATATACAGCATCACAAACCAGCGACCTGGGTGGCCCAGCCCTGGTGAACAACTAAGACTCTGCTACTCATACATAACAGGCACAAACAGATCAAAACATGGCTCAAGAACAACTCAGAGCCCCAGAGCCGATAAATCTAAGCGATGAAGAAATAGCCAAACGTTCAGATGCACAGTTCAAAACAATGGTGATCAGGATGCTCACAGAACTGGTTGATTTTAGTCACAAATTAGAGGAATATATGAAGGCTAAACTAATTGAAATGAAGGGAAATACACAGGAAACCAATAGTAATGGAAAGGAAACTGGGACTCAAATCAAAGGAGTGGACCAGAAAGAGGAAAAAAATGACCAACCAGAAAAGGATGAAGAAACAAGAATTCAAAAAAAAATGAGGAGAGGCTTAGGAACCTTCAGGACATCTTTAAACGTTCCAACATCTGAATTATAGGGGTACCAGAAGGGGAAGAGAAACAGCCACAAGTGGAAACCTTATTTGAACAAATAATAAAGGAGAATTTCCCCAATCTCCCAAAGGCAATAGACTTCCAGGAAGCCCAGGAATCTCAGAGTCCCAAAGAAGTTGGACCCAAGAAGGAACACACCAAGGCACATCATAATTATATTAGCCAAGATTAAAATGAAGGAGAAAATTCTAGAAGCAGCAAGAGAGAAGGGGACAGTCACCTACAAAGGAGTTCCCATCAGACTGTTAGCTGATTTCTCAAAGGAGATCTTACAGGCAAGAAGGGGCTAGAAAGAAGTATTCTAAGTCATGAAATCCAAAGACCTACATCTAAGATTACTCTATCCAGCAAAGTTTTCATTTAGAATGGAAGGACAGATAAAGTACTTCTCAGATAAGATCAAATTCAAGGAGTTCATCATCACCAAGCCCTTATTATATGGAATGTTAAAGGGACTTACCTAAGAAAAAGAAGATAAAAAAGATGAACAGTGAAAGGACAGCATACTCACAGTTATTAAGAACCATGCCTAAAACAAAAGCAAACTAAGAGGACAGCTAGATCAGTAGCAGAACCATAGAAATGAAGATCACATGGAGGGTTAGCAACACAACAGGGGAGTGGGAGAAGGGAAAGGGGGGAGAAGGTACAGAAAATAAGTAGCATTGATGGTAGGTAGAAAATAGATAGGGGGAGGGCAAGAATAACATGGGAAATACAGAATCTAAAGAACTTCAGACATGTGGTCATAAACTAAAGGGGGAATGGTGGGGCAGGGGGTGTGCAGGGTGGAGGGGAATGAAAGGGGAAATAGAACAACTAATGGCATAATCAATAAAATATATTTAAAAAAATAAAATAAAAATAAAGTGAGTTTCATGTAGACGGCATATATTGGATCTTATTGTTTATTCATTTGGCTACTGTATGTCTTTGGGAGTTTAATGCATTTACATGTAAAGTGATTATTGATAGGGAAGGACTTAATATTGCCATTTATTAGTTTTCTGTCTTGGAACTCTTTTATTCCTCTTTTTCTTAGTGTCTACTTTTGTATTTCATTGATTTGTTTTGGTAGTAATATGCTTATTTCTCCCTCATTTACTTTTCTGTACCTTCCAGAGGTGTTTTATTATGGTTAAAATCAACCTTACTTAAAATTATAACACATTACTTAGAGTTATAAAAATCTATTTTAAGGCAATAAGACATTAAGTTCAACCACATTAAAGAGCTCTGTTTTATTTTCTTGAATGTTCTTTTTTAAAAAATAGCATCCAGTTCCCAATAGATAGGTTTTTGAAGATTATTTTTTCTTTGGATGTTCTCTGGTTTTCCTGCTTGCTTTCATTTCTGATGTTTTTGTTGTTGTTGTTATTGTTGTTGTTGATTTGTTTTGTTCTCTTTCACATTAGAGACTTTCCTCAGATGCCTGAGAATCATGCTTGTATTTATGATTAGGGACCAAAATCAAATTGAAAACTTTGAGTATATGAGTCATCTTTGTTTACTTTGAGCTACAGTTTAAAGTCATCTGGCTGGTCCATTTGTTGGTGAAATCCCCCACCCAAAATTAGAATTTTTAAATCTTTTCTCTTGGGGCTAATTCAATTCTTCAGGGAAGACACATAAACTCTGGCTTGGGAGGGTACTACCAGCACTATAGAAGCCAAAAAGGGGAAACTGGGGTATCCTCAGCATTCAGTATATATTATTTATCTTCATTTTCTTGCTTTTAGAAACAGTATTTATACCTTCAACTGTGTCTGTCATTCCTTATATTCAGAGAATGAACTTCCAGTATTTGCCAGGATTGGGAGTGGCCTTTTACCCAGTAGTATATTGTAGGGGAGGATATTTTAAGGTCTAGTTGGTTTTTAAATAGATTTCAACCTACCCACCTTGTCTTAACCCCATCCCCTTATATCTATTTCCAGAGATTGCTGAAGCGATCAATTTCTAAACAATTTTAGAATTCTTAGGTATAGTTTGGATTGGTTTCTGGCTTTCCCCACTGCTGGTTGAAGATTCAGCTTTCTTGAGTATACTTATCCAATATCTCCCAGTTTCCAGGATACTGTAGATACTGCTTCTTTTCCTTGTTCTTCCTGACCTTGTAGGTTTGTTTAAAAAAACATCCTCCAGTTTTTGAGAATTTTCTGGAGGGAATGAAAGTAAATACATGTGTTCCATCCACCATCTTGGTCTGAAACCAATGAATTATAACCACAGTGAAATAGTTGCCTTTTCTCCCTAATGTGATATTTCTCTTTGATCTTTTGTTTATATTAGGTGTTGTACCTGAAGAACCTTAGCCCTCAGGCAACTGAACAAGATCTTGTCTCATTGTTCGCTCGGTTCCAGGAGAAAAAAGGACCTCCAGTTCAATTTAGAATGATGACTGGACGAATGAGGGGACAAGCTTTTATCACCTTTCCCAGTAAGTAGCTTTATATGGATAATTAACTCAGTTGTAGCATCAGCATTAAAGACTACTTATGCCCTGTCTAATTTAGATACAATCATTTGATTTCTCTATAACACATGAAAAACACGTGCATAAATAAGCATGTGGGAATAGGGGAAGAGAAGTAAGCAAAATATGAATTAATTGTTCCTCTGTCCTCACTTCTATGCTTCCTTTTCACTATTGACTGTGTGTGCATGACCCCCTTACTCCATTGTCCTCAATTTTTCTTAGTCTTGGCACTTTCTTCTAACTTTGCAAAAATTTACTTTATCTTTAAAATTTTTACTTTACCTTTGCTCACAATAGTATTTGTAGTCCAAGTTATAATTATATTACTTATTAGTATATTGATATTCTGATCAAAACACTTATACTTGCTTAATGTCCTATTCCTTTAGGACTAAGAGACTATAAGTTAATATGTTAGTTCACTTGTAATTTGTAACTAGTGGATGATGGTATATTCTTATAACTATTGTTTGCATCTTACTACATGATTTAAGTATCCTAATCCAAAGAGAACAATAATAGGGGAATTTTGGTTTCTCTGACAGACCATGCTTTTTTTTTTTTTTTTTTTTGCTGGAGGCGGGGTATGAGCTGTACTTTTTATTATTCCTAAGTTATCATTTATAAACAGCCTAGTAATGTATTATAGGCAAGTGATTTACACTTGAGCAATTCCAAATTCCACACTTTTCATGTAGTCTTGTACCATCTTTCCTATCTTATTGAAGGTTTGTGGATTATATACACTAGTACTTTTTAACCTTTTTAAGTGTGAGGATTCTTTTTAAACTTAAAAATATCTTCCATGGACCCCACCTAATATGATATTTTAATTGAAAAATGGATAGCTATTTTACTAATCTTAATAGCAGCTATACACATTTGAAAATTTGTAGTATATACATAAATTGTGACATAAATTGGTTCAGCCTAAAAATGTTGCTTGTGTACTTTTGATTTCACAACTCCAGGCAATAATTCCACTCCTCCCTGATTTCCTACATCAAGGCTCTGAGACTCATAAGTTAAATACTTCTGCTGTACACTGTGTACTCTCACATCTCAAGTTTTCACATGCTTACAGGGGTTAATTATTACACTCATTTGTCTCAATCAAAGCCTCCATAATCACTCTTCTATCAAAAGAAAAAAAAAGGAGCAAAATGTCCCTAATACTATGCTAAACTCTTTTATTTGTGTTGCCCCTTTTGAAAATTATTTTATTCTCACAATACCTATAATCTGTTATCTAAGGCAGAGGCTTGTGTATTAGTAGTTATAACTTAGCCTTTTTTAGCACACAATCTATATTTTTGTTTCTTTACCTATATCTTTAAATTAGGAGGTACTCTCAAACACCTATTTTAAGGTTTTTTGTCATTATTCTTAGCCATTAGTTTAATCTTGCTGAGTTATACAAATTTGACATTATGGCAAAGATAATAAAATCACATAGTTATATGGCCTTATACCCTACATTTAACTCCAAGGCAAAGATAAATAAATAAATAGACACATAAACTAAGCTTGTAATGGAATTGAATTATTATACCCTGTGTAAATTGATTTTTTCTCTTTTTTTTTAGATAAGGAGATAGCATGGCAAGCATTTCATCTAGTAAATGGATATAAACTACATGGGAAAATATTGGTAATAGAATTTGGAAAGAACAAAAAGCAACAGTCAGATCTCCAGGCTGTGTCTCTCATATCACCTGCTACAGAAAGCACTACAGAAATTAGTAGTAGCTAGAAGATATATACATTGTGATCCCAGGAGGTATTTTTTGCATCAGAATCTTTGATCTAGGATTTCTATATAGATAGGAGTTTGTTTGGAATTGAAGAGGAGAAACTGAAGAAGAGAAGAATCTAATTAAGATAATCCCTTTAGCTTTTACAAAGAATTGGTAGAAAGCATCTTTATAATCAAAGACTCTATAGGACAGACTAGATGCTGAGTCTGAAGTGTATGGTACAAAGAGTATCATTTTCTTAGGATAAATTATAAAGGATTGTTTCCAAGGATTTAACAAAATATTTATAGTTTATCTGTGGTTTCAAAGAGTTGTCCCTTGAGATAATATTGTTTCTAAGACTGTCTCCTATATACAGAACTAAATGTTGAAACTAAAAACCTAAATGTTGAAATATTTATTTATTAGAGCCCATTTGTCCCTAATTGTATTCATGTAGTAAATAAATCACCAGGATCCCAGGTCTAAACATCAACAAATGCTGTTAAATGAGAACTATTGGCAGTAACAGTAGTTTCATAAGTCAGTACACATATTTAATGAATACTTCCCATTAAGTTATCAGTGCTTTCAATAAGCCATATATTTTTCTAATGAAAGCATCTAGATGTAAATATTGATGTTCTCCTGGTCAGTTATAGCTAGCTACCACTGAATAATCATTGAATTCAAAGCAATAACCATCAGATAAGCATCTAATATATGTTAGGTATTAGGTATATGCATTTAAGAGGAACATACTGGCAAAAAATACTAAAGGGCAGATGGGAGGAAAGAGTTCTCTAGAAGAGAGGCAGCCAATCCCAAATACCCCAGTTGTTTATTTATAGTTGCTGAAGAATAGAAAGACAATAAGGTATAGAGAAGGTAGTACAAACTTTAGACTCAGATCTGTGTTTGAATTTCATAGCCACTCCATGACCTTGGGAAGTCACTTAACCTAAACCTCAGTTTTCTCATCTATAAAATGAGGAAAATAATACTACTTACCTTGTTGGATAGTGAGAATTCAATGAGATGGTATTATCCAGATTACAGAGCAGGAAAAAAAAGAAGGAAAAACTGAACAGAGTAGAGGACCATTAACCCTGCAGAAGTCACAGTCAAAATAATTACAGCATACATCTCATCTATCCCAGAGATATATTCATTACTAGTATATGCTAAAATGTGAAAAAAATTAAAAACACAGATTTGTATTTATTATATTTATATAATAAAATACATGATTTTTAATTTATTTTCAGTTAATCTAAAATTTAAAGAAATATAAAACATAAAGAATAATTTTTCTTTTTCAAAAAACAGAAACATGGATATTGCTAAAAATACAACCGAAAAAGTCTGTAATGTTAATTAATCAAAATCTTCATAGTTGGAAAAAAAAAATCTTCATAGTTGGCTTTGCCAAACATTTGTAACGGTCATTGAAAACAATATTGCTATGCTCAAGGCATACATAATTTTCACAACACTGGCAAAAATATTTTGATAAGCACCTCATTTTGGATGCATAGCACCTAACATACCTTCAAAACATGTTATAACCCAACTGATGGCTTAAAGGTCATGGTTTAACATTAGTCATGTACAAACATGCAGCTAGTCATGACCTTGAACCTACTATGCACCTGGTATATGTAATAATATTTAAGAGAACAGTTTGTATCTCTCAGATCAGCCACAACCTCTTCAGGGTTAAGTACTCCAACATACTCATAACTGGAGTACCAGAAAAAAGAGAAAAGAAAGAAAGCAGAAAGAAATTCTAATAAATAATGGATGTAAACATCCAAAATTTGATGAGAAATAATATCTACTAATCCAAGGATTTCAGCAAACCCCAAGTACAGTAAACAAGAAGAAATCCACAGATACATTGTAATAAAAAATGCTAAAACAAAGACAGAAAATTTGGAAGCAACATGAAAAAAATGAACCATTACTCTCAATGGGACCCCAATAAGATTAATAGCTGATTTCTCATCAGAAATAATGGAGATGGCAGTGGGATGACATATTCAAGGTGCTTAAAGAAAAAACTCAATATAGAATTCTGCATCCAATAAAACTAATTTTCAAAAATGAAATCAAATAAAGACATCCCCACATAATCAAACACTGGAAGAATAGGTTGCTGGTGCACCTGATTTACAGGAAATATTAAAGGAAATTCAGGTGGGAAGCAAGTGACCTTAGACAGTAACTTCAATCTATACATATAAAAATATAGCATGGGTAAAGTTAATTATGTAATTATAAAAGTGCATCTAGGTGCATTTTCCTTTATTTTAATTGATTTAAAAAACAATTTTATAAAACAGTATGTATATAGTTGTCCTTTGGGGCCTATAACATATGAAACTATTGCCAATAACAGGACAAAAAACAAGGGTGGAAGCAAAACTTAAAGAACTGACTCCAGATGGTAACTCAAATCCACTGAAACAAATGAAGAAAATAAAAAATGGGAAATAAAGTTATTAAAAAGCTATAAATATGTACTTACTCTTCTCTCACCTTTAAAAGACAAAATTATATTCAATTATAATGTATTGTTGGATTTATAACAGAAATATTATCTATAACAATATAAAGAAATAGAAAAATGAATAGGTTTATATAGGAATAAGGTTTTAATGTCTCATTGGGATTATGATATATTTGAAGCCAATTCAGTTAAGACATGCATGGTAAACCCTTAGAGCAACAACTAAGAAATAACTGAAAATAGTGAAAATATTATTAAACAGATTTAAGTGTCGCAATATAAAAATTTCATGGTAAAGCCATACAAAAAGAGTAATGGAGAAATAAAAACAAGAAAAACTTGAGACATACAGAAAACAAACAGCCCTGGCTGGTGTGGCTCAGTAGATTCAGTGCTGGCCTTCAAACTAGAGGGTTGCTGTTTCAATTCCTAATCAGGGCAAATACCTGGGTTGCCAGCAGGTCCCCAGTAGGGACCTTACATAGGTGACCACACATTGGTGTTTCTCTCTCTCTCTTTCTCCCTCCCTCCCCCTCTGGTCTGAAAATAAGTAAATAAAAGTTTTAAAAAAGAAAAACAGTAAATTGGCACTCCTAAATACACCTGTATGAATAATAACAATAAATATGCATGGATTAAACAATGCAATCAAAAGGCAGAGGTTGTCAGACTGTGAGGGGGAAATAGGATTTACCTCTATACTATTTATCAGAGTCATACTTTAAATTAAAGGTGCAAACAGATTAAAGGTAAAAAGATAGAAAAAACATCAGGCAAATGGCACCTATAGGAAAGCTGGAGTGGCCATACTAATAATATCAGACAAAGTGATTTTAAACAAAGGCTGCTATTAGAGATAGAGAGTAACATATATTAACAATAAAGGATTCAATACATCAGAAAGATAAAAAATTGTAAATATATATGCTCTTAACAACAAAGCACCAAAATACATGAATCAAAATTGAACTGATAAAAGGGGGAAATATTCAAGTCTACAATAAGAGTTGGGGAATTTAATACCCCATTTTCAATAACAATGGACAGAAAATAACAATGAATTAAAAGACTTGAAAAATGCTATAAATTATGTGGACCTTAAACAGATCAATCATGTAGACTTTAAAGAGATCTATAGAACACTCCACACAAGAGCAGAATACACATTCTTCTCTAGTGTACATGAAATATCTTCAGGATATACCATAACACAAACCTGAAATTTAAGTGAACTGAAACCATGCAAACTGTTCTCTGATTACATGGAATAAAACTAGAAATCAATAACAGAAAGTTGGGAAACTCACAAATGTGAATTAAATGCACTTAAATGACCAATTAGTTAAAGGAGATATCATAAGGGAAATAAGGAAATCTTTTTAGGTGAGTGAAAATGAAGACAACATACCAAGACTTATGGGATGCACCTAAAGCAATACTTAGAAAAGTATAAGTACAAATGCCTATGTTGTTAAAAAGACCACATATTGGTAACCTCACTTTCTACCTTAACATACTGGAAAAAAAGCAAACTAAACCTAGAGCACACAGAAAAAAGAAGAAAAATTAGTAAATGATGTGGAGAATAGCAAAGCAACAATGTCAATGAAACCAAAATTGGGTCTATGAAAATCTCAACAAAAGTGACAAACCTTTTGCTAGATTGACCAGGAAAAAATGGAAACCCAAATTACTAGACTCAGAAATGAAGAAGGGATGTTACTACCAACGTTATAGAAATAAAAAAGGATTTGAAGGAACACTATAGATAATTGTATACCAAGAAATATACACTAACTACAGAAACCAATAAAAAAATCTGAAAAGACCTATAACAAGATGTTAATTAGTAATTTTTTAAATACCCACAAAGAAAAGCCAAGGCCCCTGGCTGGTGTAGCTCAGTGGATTGAGCACGGGCCTGCGAACCAGACAATCGCGGTTCGAATCTCAGTCAGGGCACATACAGGGGTTGCAGGCTGGTTCCCTGCAGGCCAGTTCCCAGCAGGGGAGGCACAAAAAGGCAACCATACATTGATGTTTCTCTCCCTCTCTCCTTCCCTTCCCATCTAAAGATAAATTAAAAAAAAAAAAGCCAAGGCCCAAATGGCATCTCAAATGAATTCTAGTAAACATTAAAGAATACAGACTCTTCACAAACTCTTTCAAAAAGTAAAAGGAGGGAACACTTCTGATAGATGCTACAATGTGTAAAAAACATGATAAATCAAATAACAGTCACAAAAGACTATATATTATATGATTCCACTTATATGAAGTGTCTAGAATTGGCCAATACAGAGAAAGTAGATTAGTGATTGCTTAGGACTGAGGGTGATACCTGAAGAGTATGAGATTTCTTTAGAGGTTGATGAAAGTGTTCTAAAATTGATTGTGGTCATGATTGTACAACTCTGATATTCTACAATCAACTTTAAATGAGTAAATTTTATGGTGTGTGAATTATATCTCAAAGTCATAAAAAAATTGAATACAACCCAAATGTCCATCAGTAGCAGAATGGATGAATAAATAATAGAATATCCATTTAGTGTACAGCCATTGAAATAATGGGATATATGTATGAATATAGTCTGAACTGTTTGGTGTCCAGGGTTTTATATTAAGTTAAAAAGCAAGTAATATGTACAGTTGTTCCTTAAACAACTATGGTTTCAACTATGCAGGTCCATTTATATGTGGATTTTTTCAATAAGTACCTGTAATATTTTTATCTGTGGTTAGGATTCCATGGAAACAGGGCTGACTATGTATTGATCTACACTGTTTTATATACAGGACTTGAACATCCACAGATTTTATTTTATTTTTTATTTTATTTTATTGAGCATCTATGTATTTTAGTATTTGCAGGGGGTGCTGTAACCAGCCCTTCACGGATATCAAGGGGCAACTAAGTTTTTGGTGTATCAAAAGTTATATGTGGACTTCCAAATGTGGGATGTCAGAGCCCCTAACTCCCTCATTGTTCAAAGGTCAACTGTGTAATATCAATACATTTTTGTAAACAAAAACATTTGTGTACATATATAGTATATGTATATATTTCTAATTATAGGAAAATCTGGGAAATATACATACCAAATTACAAACATTTTAGAGTTGGGATTGGATGGGAAGAAATTTTTAAAGTCACATAGTTTGATGGTTTTTTTTTTTACTTTGTTCAGCATTTTCTTTAATTAAAAAAATTTTTTTTTAATATTCTGTCAATGATGACTCCCAGACCATGTATCAGGCCTGCTCTGAGGATATAATCTAACTATACTCAGGACAAACTCATTCTTTTGATATACTGCACACTTAGGATTAAGTCTCCTATTTTAAATATAGTTTAAGGGACAAGAAGTTATCCTGTTATAACCTCTTGGACATGGTACCCAGGGACATACTTCTAACTTATACTTCTCAGAAGGAATTTCTTCCTGCTGAGTGGAAAACCTTACCTCTGCCCTTTTCTCGACCTACAACCACCAATACTAGAGGAAGATTAAAATGAATTATGACTTTCAACTGGTGCATAGATAAACTGTAGTATATTCATGGAATCCTACTCAGCAATAAAAACTATGATGAACAATGACACATATGCAACAACTTGACTGAATCTGAAATGTATTTTGCTAAGAGAAGACAAGCTCAAAATGCTACTTACAGTTTGATTCCACATATATGATATTCTGAAAAAGAAAACTAGGAATAGAAGAAATCAGTGGGTGTCAGGGGTTAAAAATGCCATACTGATGACAAAATGGTAGCACAGGAATTTGTCTTAATAACAGAATTTTCTGTATCTTGATTATACTTGCCTGAGTGTATGCATTTGTTAAAACTTCTATAATTATACAACAAAAATGATTAATTTTACTGTATGTGAATTTTCAAATAAATGTAATTTTTAATGTAGGAAAGAAAAAGTTTCTCAAAATCATTTCTATAAAATAGTTTCTATTCTTTGGTCTTTTGATTTTTATTGAAGACTTAAAGCCACTTGGCTATCCTTCCTTATTTTCTGCCCACAGGTCAGCAGAAATCGTCAGTTAAAATCATCCTATATACACATACACACACAAACCTACCATTAAAAATATCAACAGAAACAGGAAAATAATTTGGTACTCAGGAGATTATTTTCTTAACATAAAATGTATACAATTTTCTTAATATATTAAAGCCATTATTCCAATTAAAAATAGATAAATGAATATTTATAAAAACTGAAATGTAAATGACTGATAAGCTAAGAAAAAATGCTCAGAGTAGTAATACACATCAGGACAATGAGCACTCTTAGAAGTCACAAAAATAGTAGAAGAGTTTCTATATATCCTTCACCCGATTTCCCCTAATGTTAACATCCTACAGAACAGTACAATTATCAAAACCAGAAAAATAATATTGATAATGCAGTGGTAACTATTTTACAGAACCCATTTGATTTTTCTACTTTTCCCACCAATGTCCTTTTATGATCCAAAACCAGGGTTCTTTAATTCTTTTAATTTTTTAAACTACAGTTTACATTCAATATTTGTATTTGTTTCAAGTATAAAGCATAGCAGTTAGATCCTTATAAGATCCAATTTGGGATCCCACATTGCATTTTGATATCATGTATCCTTATTCCTTTGCTATCTGTGACAGTTCTCACTCTGTTTCTGATGACCTTGCCAATTTTGAAGAGTACTAGTCTGTTATTTTGTATAATGTCCAAAATTGGGATTAGTCTGATGTTTTTCTGTAATTAGATTGAGGTTGTACATTTTTGGTACGAATACCACAGAAGTGATGTCCTTTTTAGTGTATTATATCAGGAGGTACTTGCTTGTATGTCTCAATACTGGTGATGTTGACCTTGGTTAAGGTTGTACCTGCTATACCTCTTCACTATAAAAAGATACTTTGAAAACATCAAAATATTCTGTTTCTTATCATATGTTTCCTCACTAGTCTTAGCATTCATCAATGGTTCTTGATTCTGACAGTTACTATTGTGGTGTTTACCTAGTGGTGATTTTCTATTTCTTTCATTTCTCCTATGTTAACTGGAATTCTGTAAGGAAGATGTCCCACCTACCCATTTATTTACTCATTTACTTATGTCAGCATGGACTAATATATGTTTATTCTATGGCTTATAACTTAATTTCATCATTATTCTGTTGCTCAAATTGTTCCGCCTTTGCCCTTTAGGAGATTCTGTGTAATTTTGATGTTTTTATTTTTGTCTACTTTCTTATTTTCTGGCACCATAAAGTCTTCCAGAATCATCTTGAATTTTCTCTACTCCAGTGCTAGAATCAACTGTTCTATGTGCAGTGTTATTTTTTTATTGGAAAAATTGTATTTAGAAACCAAGATCTGGGCACTAGTTGCTATCTTTTTATAACATGTCAAAATGTCATATATAAAGGTTGATAACACCAAGTGTTTCCAAGGGTATGGAAAATAGACACATTGGATAGGATTATAAATACAGATAACCTTTTGGGAGAACAATTTGGCCACATCTACTAAAAATTTAATTGTAAAGTCTGCAAAATCTACTTCCAGAAATCTATTATACAGAAATACTTAAACTCAAAGAAATATACATAGAAATATTCATTACAACATTATAATTGGAAAAGCCTGGGAAAAAAGTTAATCAGTAGGGACTGCCTAAGTAATTAAATTGTGGTACAACCATACAATAAAAGATGTTCACATTAAAAGAATAGGACCTTGTGACTGCATGAATGGTCCTGGAGAGCATTATGCTAAGAAAAGTAAGTCAGAGAGACAAATACCATACAAGGTCTGTCTAGAAGGTATCCAGCCATATAATATGAAAAATAGAGAAATTTATTGAAGAAAATAAAAGAAACATTGTACATAGGACAGTCATGCCTCAGTCCCCTTCAAAGCAGGCACCTTGGGACTTCACACAGTTTTCCCAGTCACCATTAACTGACCCATCATATTTTCCCAAATTTCATAGATGGTCTAAAAGCTCTTCCCTTTCAAAGGTGATTTGTTTTAGGAAAAGCCAGAAGTCATAAGGTACCAAATCTGGGCTGTAGCGGGGCGGAGTCACCTGGATGATTTGATGGTTCGCCAAAAAACTACATAACACATGAGGCATAAGCAGCTGCATTGTCATGATGAAGCTGCCAGTCACCAGTTGCACATAACTGGGACCTTCTGAATCATCCCATTAATATCCATGCAGGAATGTCCGCACTTAATGCAAAATCTGATGCAGATTCATTGCTCTACTCGCTCAGTCATTTTGAATGTGACAGCCACACAGTACACATGCTTTCAATGGCATCTACTGCTTCTACTGACTAGTACAGTGAAGTTATCTTGTTCACACATGCACATTTCAGTTCTTCTTGGCTGCTAGGTTACATCGATGTTGTGCAAACTATTCTCATTGCATTAACAATAGCTGGACTTTTTCTGGACAGACCTAATGATTTTATTCATATGTGGAATTTAGTTAACAAAATAGACTCATAGAGAGTAGGCTGACAGCTGTGAAATTGGAAGACAATTACAGGACTGGGTGAAAAAATGTGAAGGAATTCAGAAAAAAACCTTAATAAAGACAAGAGTATCATGATTACCAAAGTGAAAGGGTGTGGGGGAAGGTAGGAGAGGATAAAGTGGGGATAAATGGTCATGGAAGGAGACTTGACTTGGGATAGTGAACACACAATATAATATACAGATGATGTGTTATATTGTACAACTGAAACCTATATAATTTTATTAACTGGTGCCACCCCAATACATTCAATTAAAAAAAAGAAATGGGAGATCTGTAGATATTGATGAGGACCTTGCTTCATATTTCACTGAGAAAATAAAAGCAATCACATGAGAACTTCATCTTTTTTATCACCAAATCTACCATCTATTTACATTTTTGCCTACATTCTGCCTTCCTATATTTACCATACACATCATGAATGGTTAAAGATATGGGACCTAATGCCATACTCTCAGTGTTCAAATCCTGACTCTACCATTTACTAGCTGTATAAACTTGAGTAAGTTATTTAAACTTACTATTCCTGGGGTTTTTTTTCTTTTCATTTTTAATGTGAATGAGGGCAATAATAGTATATGCCTCACAGGATTGTTGTATTTAGTGGAACATGTAAAGTATTTTGAATATTACCTGGTACATAGTAAGAGCTCAATAAGTGTTAGATTATTATTTTAATGGATGAAGTATCCTTCCTCCTATCAAAGGCCATCCACATCATTTGTGCTTTGTATTCCAGTCCCCTGACTTCTCAAGGACTTAACATATGCAATTTTACTCTCTGCATCAGCAAACTGTCATTTCCATTAGCATATAAACATGTTCTAGAATGTCTCATTTATTTAAAAAAAACTTCATTACCTTACATTCTCATCAACTTACTGCTTCATTTCTCTATTCTTCACAGAAAAATTTCTTAAAGTTCTCTTTTGTCATTGTTTCCACTTCTAAATCTGCTTCAATAAAGTACTGCTCTTCACAAAGTCTTCAGTAACAGCCCCTCATTCCCACCTTGCCAAAGCAATGGTAATTTCTCTGTCCTCAACTGTTCATATATCAACTGTTCAGCTACATTCTATTCCATTTACCTCTCTTTTTATTTCTTAAAATACTCTATTCTCTTCACTTCTGTACCACCATAGCTTTGCTTTTCTTCCTACTTCAGAGATGAATTCTTAATCTCCTTTATGGCTTCTTCCCTGATTCATTCAATGTTATAGCACTCCGGGGTTCCCTCCCTAGTCTGCCTTTTTTCCCCTGATTTTACCATCTCTCTCGAAGCTCCCATCTAGTTTCACGACTTTACTATCTATAGAGCTATGGCTACTAAATCTACTGTTGACTTCCAGTTCAGACTTTTCTATTGAGCTCCAGATTCCTATATCCAACTGACTCCCTAACATGGCCTCTGAATGTCTAAATCCATCTCAAGTGAGACATGTTCAAAATAGAAGGCTTGAATATTTACTTTCCCAAACCCAGCATTTTTCTAATCTTTCCCTCATCACAAAATGGCACCACCATTCTATTTCTAATTGTTCTTTATTACTTCCTTCCTCTCACTTTCTACGTATATCTATATCCAATCCTGCAGATTACCTAGTGGTAATCTCCAAAAATATACTAGGAATCACACATTTTTCTCCAACTTTGCTGCTAATTTAATCTGCCCTAGAACAATCCATAATTGGATTGACAAAAGCCTCCTGATGTTCTTTGTTCCACTCTTGCCTCCTTACAATCCAGTTTCCAGAGAGCATAGAAATGATTCTTTCAAAAATATAACATTTGTTGTGCCAAGATGGAGGCATAGGTGGAGATGCTGTGCTTTCTCACACAACCAAGTTTAGAGACAACAAAATAATAGCAACAGAAAACATAGCCAGAACATAGAAAATTGAACTTTTCGGAAGTCTCATAACAGCAAATTCTTCAGCCTGACCAGTAAGAGGGGCAAAACCAGCAGCTGGCGGAGTGGGGTTGCACAGGAAAACTCGGTCAGACGGACTCAGGCGCGCGGATCCCAGGTGTGGGGTTGCAAAGGGCTGACCCAGTGAGCGACCTAATGAGCACGACCCAGCGAGAGACCCAGTGAGCAATCTGTGGATCCAGCGAGGGTGAAGGGCAGTGGGCTGACTGTGCTGGTGCATTCCTGTGCAGATAGACCGGTGAGGGAGTGGGCAGTGAGACAGGACCAAGCAGGTCCCAGGGACAAGACACAGCAGAGACGGCCGCCATTTCCCGGCTCTGACCCCGCCCCCACATACAGCGTCACAACCCCACAACCCTGCCCTGGAGGCCTGCCCCACCCCTAAGGCTTGGCTCCTCATACTTAACTGACCCAAACAGACAAAAAATGGCTCAAGAAGATCTCAAAGCCCCAGAGCCCATAAATCTAAATGATGAGGAAATGCAAAACTTTCAGATGCACAGTTCAAAACACTGGTGATCAGGATGCTCACAGAACTGGTTGATTTAGTCACAAATTAGAGGAACATATGAAGGCTAAACTAATTGAAATGAAGGGAATTGCACAGGAAACCAATAATCATGGAAAGGAAACTGGGATTCAAATCAAAGGAATGGACCAGAAGGAGGATAAAAATGACCAACCAGAAAAAGAATGAAGAAACAAGAATTCAAAAAAATGAAGAGAGACTTAGGAACCTCCAGGACATCTTTAAACGCTCCAACATCCGAATTATAGGGGTACCAGAAGGGGGAAAGGAACAGCCACCAGTGGAAAACTTATTTGAACAAATAATAAAGGAGGATTTCCCCAGTCTGGCAAAGGAATAGACTTCCAGGAAATTCAGGAAGCTCAGAGAGTCCCAAAGAAGTTGGACCCAAGAAGAAACACACCAAGGCACATCATAGTTACATTAGCCAAGATTAAAATGAAGGAGAGAATCCTAGAAGCAGCAAGAGCTAAGGGGACAGTCACCTACAAAGGAGTTCCCATCACACTGTCAGCAGATTTCTCAAAAGAGACCTTACAGGCAAGAAGGGGCTGGAAAGAAGTATTCCAAGTCATGAAATCCAAAGACCTATATCCAAGATTGCTCTATCCAGCAAAACTTTTCATTTAGAATGGAAGGACAGATAAAGTGCTTCTCAGATAAGATCAAATTCCAGGAGTTCATCATTACCAAGCCCTTATTATATGAAATGTTAAAGGGACTTACCTAAGAAAAAGAAGATAAAAAAGATGAACAGTGAAAGGACAGCATTCTCACAGTTATTAACAACCACATCTAAAACAAAAGCAAGCTAAAAGGACAGCTAGATCAG